TTGCTAAACACACAAGCACCGGTAAGCTGATCCAACAAGTCATCTAGGCGGGGAATAGGAAAGCGGTAACGCACCGTAATCTTATTAATTGCCCTACTATCCACGCACATGCGCCACGTGCCATCCTTCTTCGGTGTGAGAAGAGCAGGAACAACACAAGGACTAAGACTCTCCCTGATGTGCCTGCACAACTCTTCATGCTCAGTGGGGCTCATTCTATAATGCGCTCGGTTAGGTAGGGTAGCTCCAGGCACCAAGTCAATTTGATGCTGAATATCCCGCAGTGGTGGTAGTCCATCAGGAAGCTCTTCTGGGAAAACTTCATGAAACTCCTCTAGCAATGGCTGAACTGCGAGAGGGACTTCATGCTCACTGTCAACCGACTTTCCAATCAGTACATACACTACCCCAGACTCCTCCATCTCTGTCTCGAACTTCTTTCTGGTCAGTAAATTAGCATTGTTCCCAACTGTCTGTACTGAACCCTTATCCGGTAATAACACAATTTTCTTTCCCCCAAATAGAAAGCTGTACGTGTTGGTATATCCATCATGCAGTGAGTGCCTGTCAAACTGCCATGGCCTCCCTAATAGTAAATGACATGCATCCATCTCTACTACATCACATAAGACCTGATCCTTGTAGGTAGGTCCGATGGAGAAGCTGATCCTAGCACGTTGAGACACTTCTACGTCATTGCCTCTTTTCAGCCAGGCTAATTTGTAAGGTTTGGGATGTTTCTCAGTCTGCAAACCCAGCTTCCTAACGACCTCCTCAGCCACCACATTCTCGTAACTACCAGAATCAATGACAAATTTGCACACCTTCCCTCCAACAGTACATGTTGATTGAAAGATATTATTACGCAACCAATCAGTGTTATTCTCCAAAGGAGTCAGGAAACTCCTCCTCACCACCAGTGCCTGACCCACATCACCAACCACAAACTCTTCCTCTTCTGTTGCTTCTTCTCCGCCCTCACCGTCAAATACAGGCGGACCTTCATAATCGTCATTTCCCTCATCAACAAAGAGTCCCCTGCGTGGATTCTTTGGGCACTCAGACTGCCTGTGTCCTATAACTCCGCATCCGAAACAACGAATACCAGCCCTAGGACGTGTTGGTTGTTGGGCAGGATTTGTTCTAGGAGGACCAGATTGGGCAGGATTACTAGGACGTGCCACCTGCTGTTGTGGGTTACTAGAAGAACTCCCTGCAATGAAAGGACTAGTAGTTTTCCTGGACTGTTGCTTTTCTATCTGTATTGCCCTCTGATGTGTTTCAGAAACTGTCACAAGATCAAACATGTTAAGGGTATCCTGTATTTGGGGACGAAGACCACCCACGTACCGTGACACCAACTGCTCCTCCGTCTCCATCATCTCGTTCCTCGAAATCAACATATAAAAATCCGTGGTATAGTCACTAACCGTTTTCCCACCTTGACGCAGATTCTGCAATTGTTGGTATATGGTCCGCACATAATTGTAAGGCAGAAATTGTTTCTTCATATGTTTCTTCAATTTGTCCCACGATGCAAGCTTAGGTTTCCCCAACCTGGATCTTGTCACTTTAGTCTGCTGCCACCACGCCGCTGCTCGCCCACGAAGCCTCGTTGCAACGAAAGGCACACATTTATCGGCAGGAACGTCTTTAAACTCCAAGACCTCCTCCACTGCAGTCACCCAATCCAAGAATTCCTCTGGACTCAACCCACCATGAAATTCTGGAATATCCACCTTAAATCCTGATTCCCAACGTCGGTTGTCCTCCTGACCACCCCTTCTCCGGTGAACTGGCAGATCCAATGGTTGTTCAAGCGGTGCAAATGGATTCTCATCATCGGAATCCTCAAGCTGTTGGCCTGTAGGCGCAGGTTGCTGCGACATAAGCGCAGCGATCTGTCGTGTCAATAATTCCACTTGTTGACGTAGCTGTGCGACTTCATCACGTCTATGTACCTCCTCTACCGGGGCATCACGGGCTTCAGGACGTCTCCTTGGCGGCATGGTGAAGGAACGATTTCGGCTCTGATACCAACTGACGTAGCGGGAATATTATAGGGAAGATGAACAATCACAAATTGAGAAAACTCTCAAGGAAGATTTTATTGAATTCCAGAACTACTGCCTCTAAGGGCTTACAGCTGATTAAATAGGAAAAACCTAGGAAAATCCGGAAAATAAAATAAAATAAAAAAAAGATATTTTTTCCAAAAATGGAAAATATGATATAATTACTAAGATGGAAAATACTTATCTTCGGGATCATCCTCCAACAAACGGAATCTAATTCCGAATTTCATGGAAAGAGATATTGCAAAAAATGAAAATTACCATAAATAGCAAAAACGATTAAACGAGGGCCTAAACGATAGATTTTGCCCGAAATTGGCCCTGAGTTTTATTCCTTGGCTCGGTTCCAATCAAATTAGACTAGTGATTTGCCAAAAACGAGCAAACCCAAAGTCATCATGAAATCATTTGCCCCTTTTGCCAACTTTTGCCTTGTGATGGTCCCATTTTGCCATGAACTCTATTCCCTTGTGCACTTCATCACCTAATGTGTAGAAAACAAATAGATGGACAGAAAGGTAGTAGGTATATGTTGTCACGTAAGTTCGACATGTTTATTCACGAGATTCATGTACGTAAGAAAATATAATTTCGAAAATGGACTTGAACGTTGTCTAAAATGAAAAATTATAAAAGATTATATCAGTTGTATTTGTTTCTATTCGAGTAGACATTACAATCATAAATATGATTTGATATATTAGTACAATGGATTTTCTTATTTGAACCATTTATTCCCTCTTCATCCTTAGCTAAGCAACTCAGTAAATAGAAAGAACTTCAGTCTGTGGTATAAAATCATTGTCGCAGACAAGCACAAACTGAAAAAATTTCTGTACCTTCTCACCTCCTTGTATAAGTGTATTTCACTTCAAATCTTTTTGGTGAAGTTCTAGAATATACTTGTGTTATTGAAAATTCGAAACTTGGTCTTTGAATTGTTAATTCTCAGTTAGGCACCATCTTCAGTTTCGAGGATTTCTTGTGGATAGAATAATTCACTGAAAAGTCAATCGAAGGATAGCCTAGTGGCGAAAATAAAGAATACGAGTCTTTATACCATTTTATGATTATTTGGGTTCAGTTATGATACGACGTAGGATAATATCGAAACTAATAATAGTGCTGAGTGACCATTTTCCTCAAGATACAACGTAGGATAATATCAAAATCAGAAATTTGATCAGAGGTCGTGAGTTCGATTCCTGAAAGGCTCTTGGAAGACAGATATTTTCCTGGAAGGCAGGAGCTCTATGTGTAAAGATGGGAAACAACTTGCTTGACACTTTGGCAGATAAGTTGGGGGGCTCTTGAGTACTGATTAGTTTGGGGCACAACTTGTCTGCAGCTTGAGGGGCCAAAGTGTAGACTCCAGATTTAGTCACTGTAAGGTAGATACCTAGATATAAAAAAAATAAAAATAATAAAAATAAAAAATAAAAATCAGAAATTTCAATGCAAAATGATGTAGATGCCAAGCATACACTTAGTACCCAGTATAGGCCCACCAGTAATGAATCTACCTGTTGTCATGTTCTATACACCCTAATTAATAATTTTTCTGGGGGACCCATTTTCCTTATGATAAAACGTAGGATAATATCAAAATCAGAATTTTCTATGCAAAATGATGTAGATGCCAATGTCAATTTGATACTTTACAAGCAAAATACGTCAAAACATGCCTCAAGAAAAGGATATTCGACCGGCCCTCATATTGCAGACACCCTCGGACGAAAGCAGTAAATCCAAATTACCGATGGGATTCATAAAGAATGTAACATCTATAACGTGGATGATACATTAAAGAAATGACAAAAAAATTGTATAAATAGACTATCCTTCGTGACAAAGTAAAATGAAATGGCTGAAGAATTGAAACTTTTCAGGACATGGTCGAGTCCATTTGCTTTGAGGGTCATACATGCCCTCAAGATTAAGGGCTTAGAATATGAGAACATATTCGAAGATCTCAGCAGCAAGAGTGCTTCACTCCTGCAGTATAATCCTGTTAACAAGAAGGTTCCTGTACTTGTGCACAATGGAAAGCCAATATGTGAGTCACTTGTAATTCTTGAGTACATTGACGAGACATGGAAACAATGTCCTCTTTTACCACGAGATCCTTATGAGAAGGCTGAAGCACGTTTCTGGGCGAAATTTGGAGATGAGAAGGTATAAGAATTCCTTGCCTTCAATAACTTTTCAATCCTCTTTATCCTAGATAATTCATACATATTGAGATATGCCGGTCGAATTTGCCATCCCCCAATACATTTTTGATACCTTAGCACATCACCTCTTCATAAAAATTGAAAAGATTCCAATGTGTAATGTGTCAAGTTGTCAAAAATGTATTAGGGGACAATCAAGGGACAGCACGTTCTAGAGAGCAAATCTGGGCTCGGTCATCCAAAGCATGATATTCTTGTTTCTATTAAAGCATGTATAACACAAACTCCTCTTAGTAATACCGTTCATTTTGCAATGCAGCTTCTTTCATTAATATGGAATGTTTTAATTACTCAAGGGAAACAGCTAGAAGAAGCTACTGCTGAAGCTGTCCAGAACCTGAAACTCATAGAAGAGCAGCTGAAAGACAAGAAATTCTTCGGAGGAGAGACAATCGGATATCTTGATATTGCATTTGGTTGGACAGTTAATTTAATCAGCATCCTGGAAGAGATAATTGATCAGAAGTTGGTAGATGAAGAGAAATTACCACTGCTATCAGCGTGGATGCAGAACTTCTCGGATGATCCAGTGATCAAAGATTGCTGGCCACCTCGAGATAAAATGATCACAAAATATCAAGCCATGCGTGAACCATATCTTAAAAAGGTTGTATCTCAATGATCTCATCTGAGCCATCCAATAACAAAATGTTATCTTGATAGTTTTGTTGGTATGTAGAAACTTGCATCCTGTAAAAATAAACTTTGTTCAATTACTTCGGCTGAATAATGTTACATGCCAAACATATGAACGAACTATTACTGGACTTATCCACTGAACAAACATAAACATGCTATGTCACATCAAACAAACCGAGACTAAGCGTAGATGTACCAATGCAGCATTATGTAAAACTAGGAGAAATTGAACAACTATCTTGAATTCTTAAAATTCTAGAAAACAGTGAGTTTGGCGGCACGATGACCATGGAGAAAGCCAAATAAATTGCCAAGATGCTGTGTTACATTCATTTGAAACTAAAGATAAATACGTAAACATTCAGCAAGCTGATTTCTAAAAGTCGATTGATGCAACAAGGAAGCAATTATTCAGATTCTTGTTAAATAATTCATCTTAGATTACCATTTAAATTCGTCTCACTGAGTAGAATGAGCATAAATTGCATAAAGAGCGAGAAGCCACTTGCCTTTTGGTCAATAGTAGCATTGAAGGGATAATAATAAGAATGAAAACCATAGTAAAGCTACAAACCAATTACCAAGATTTCATGAAAAATGAAAGGATTAATAGCAAAAAAAAAAAAAAAACCTTTCTAGAAACGTTTTCACGTGCGATATAGACCCTACCTATTGGAAATCATAGAAAACCGCTCTGTTTGAAACCTTTTGAGCAAAATATTCTCCTGCCGTCAAGATTCGTCAGATTTGCCATTAAAAACAGTAAAAGTTGTTAAAATTAAAAAGAAATAATTGTAATTGTCGTACCAAACTTTTATTCTTTTGCAAATTATACATGAAGTTGTTATATGTGTCAACCATAATCCCAAATCTATAAAACTTTCTTTTCTTCCCCGCCCCACCCCACGCCATCGCATCCCACCCATCCCATCTTTTTCCCCACCTTCAAGGCTTCAACCATACCCATACGATCCCTCAGTAAATTTCGATTTGCAATTGTATCCTGCCCATTAGCCGATAGCAGATCCCATTTTTTGAAATTAGACCAAAACAAACAAACGTAGTGTGTCATCTGTGAAGAAACCCTAAACGGAAATGGGTTCCAATAAACATAAATTCTTTAGCTCAGATGAACAACTCACCAAATGGGTTCCATTGGAAAATGGAAAACATAAATTTTTTGGACTTACCATATAAAGTTGTTTCAGATTGATTGATTGATTTATTTTTATTTTTATTTTTATTTTTATTTTTATTTTTATTTTTTCAAATTTAGAGACTTCGATGATGGATTATTAAATGTGGAAATTACACAAAACCTTATGTTTAAAGATGTGAGTTCTAAAATCAGATGGCAAGTTTCACTTTTCAAAAATCCGATATATCATATTTAATGTGGAAATTACACAAAACCCTATGTTTAAAGATGTGAGTTCTAAAATCAGATGGCAAGTTTCACTTTTTAAAAATCAGATATATCATATTTAAATATTAAATATACAATTTTCATTGCAAATCTCAAAATTTTTTCCACCATTTTCTCTTTCTCTTCATAGCTGTATCCCTCTACAGTCACCATTTCCCCTCTCTCTTCATCTTCTCTCCTCCCTCTACCAAAGGCACTCACGGCATCGCCACCTCGCCCCCACACCATACCCACCACTGGAAGATCGTCATGGCAATAGGTGCTCACGGCTATAGCATGCACAATGGTAGGCACTGTTGTACGTGATCTATCTTCCTTTTTTGTCTTCTGCATCTGTTCCTCTATTGTTAGCCATTGATGGCGCCGTCGATGGTGTTGGCCACTACGAGTAGTGAGGAACAACCTCAAACTCCATCTAGCATCGCTCTAACTGGCAGCAATCTCCACGTAGGCTTCGTTCTTGTCGCTACTATAGTTCTATGGTGATGGTGGTGCTACAGATGGTTGGTGCAGGTAATGGTAGATCTAACGACAGCGGTGTGTGGTGTTGGGTGCGATGATGATGGTAGATTTGGTTGTAGTGGATCTGGCGGTGGCGATGAGGGTAAGGTATTGGTACTTTGATAGTTGTTTGTTAATAGTGAATGAGTGTTGGTTAGAAATGGTGGTTGTGGTGGTGGGGTGGCAATGATGGTAGTGCGGCAATGGATTTTGTGGTGTTGGTGGGGTGGTGAGACGACATTATGGTGGTGGCTTTTGTGGGCTATTGGCGATTTTGTATCTGGTTTGTTGGTGGTCAGGTGGTGCTAGTTACAATGTTTGAGATGATGGGGCTGTTGAGAGCTAGTGGTGGTGGTTTTTGTGATGGCAGTTGTGATGTCGATGCGGAGGGCGGCAACGGTGGTCACAAGTGTTGGGGACGATCACAAATGATTTAATCTGTGACCAATAAACAATATGTGACTAATGAGAAAGAGGAATTGTGACCAAGAAATAACATGTGACCTAAAAAATTGTTAATTTGTTACTGTTTAATAAATTGTGACTTATAATATTCATGATTTTTGACAAATAAATAAATTGTGACGTATAAATTTTTGGTCTGTGACTAATGAACAAATTGAAATATATAAAATTTTTGAATTGTGACCATAAAATAATTTATGACATATAAAAATTTTGATTTGTGGGCGAAAAATAATACGTGACTAACTAAATTTGTGAATTTGTAATCAAATTGTATAGATTTGTGACCTTAATATATTTAATTAATTAAATCATAAATATATTTGAATAAATATCTGATTTTTGAAACTCGAAACATTTTTTATTACATTTGAAATAGGTGATAGATAATCTCTTACTTATAAAATTTTCCCTTATTAGACCCCAAGAAGATGAGAATTTTGGTGCACAGACATATTTTTCTCCATTTCTCTATTGACTTTTTAGGCTATTGCTTTTAAAGTAGAATTGTTTAGGTCTGTGTTTGGAATAAGTTTAAAAGATTTGGGATTATGTGTGGCACATATAAATAATTTAGGCATAATTTGCAAAAAAAAAAATATAAGTTTGGGTACTGTAACTGCAATTATTTCTTTTTAGTTTTACGTTTGGCTGTTTTTAATAACAAATTTGACGGATTCTGGCGGTAGGGTGTATTTCGCACGAAAGGCATCAAACATAGGGGATTTCTGTTATTTTCAATCGGTAGGGGATATATTGCACATGAAAATATTTTTAGGGAATTTTCTACTATTAATCCAAAATGGAACCTTGAAACTGAAGCATTTAACATATTGCTTAAAATTCGAAAAATGTGAAACATAATGTTTAGATATCAAAATGAAAGGGGTGGTGTGACTTTGGTTCCATGTCAATGGTAGAGATGAGATCGCATAGGAAGTCTAAGAAGAGAAGCGGCTCTAAGCTAAATAGATAATGTACCCATGAGTAAATCTAGTGAATCATCTCCATCATGTTTACTCAATGCAAAAACTCTTCCCTAAATCCTAGGATGAGTCACCAAATGTAGTCATTCGTATATACTCATTAAAGAAAGAGCCTTTTTACCAAAATATATAATGTACCCTTGAGTAAATCTAGTGAATCATCTCCATCATGTTTACTCAATGCAAAAACTCTTCCCTGAATCCTAGGATGTCCTATCTGGCCCTTCTATCTAGCACCACTGTTGCCAGCAACACTAGACTGAATTATATTGGTAGTACTTA